AAGGTGTGAGGGTGGAGGTGGTGCGAAGGGGTTCTTGTCTGCTGCTTTTGATGCGGTGCAGGATCATCTTGAGAACAATAATGGCAGGGGAGGAGGTCAAGGTTTCGAACTTGACGGTCTGCTAGGTGTGATTAGCAACACTGTCAAAGATGCCGCTCGAAACCCCGAGGAAAAAGCACGAATGATCAGTCCCGAGATCAAAGAACAAGTCGGCGCCAAACTCCGCGAACAACACGCCCCGATCGCAGAGCAGTTCACGCGCATTGCTCTCGATCACATCAAGCGCTGGCTACGAGGAAACACGAGCACCAAGGATTTGGGCGATGGTGTCAAGGGCGAGATTGAAGATCAGGTCAAGGATCTCGTCAAGGGACTTGGAGGTTTGTTTGGGAACAAGAAGTCTAATGAAGGTTCGGCGAGAGGATTTGGTGATGGAGATCGTGATGGTGAACGCGCTGATGGCGAGAGCGGCGGGTTCTCAAAAGTCATAAGTGATAAGCTGAGCACAGGTATCGCAAGAGTCCACAGGGAAGTCCGTCTTGAATTCCGCAAGATTCTCGGCGGTATTGAAAAGCAGCTCTTCGAATTACTACCCGATCAATTCCAACGTCCTCTCGAGAAGATCCTCGGTGGAAATCCGTTTGATACGCAACTCGACCGCGACGCGGGACCAGGCCAAGCGGATAGAGGGTTTGGGGATGATATCAAGGCGAAGCTGGTGAACAAGATTAGAGCGCTGGTGAGGAAGGTACAGGAGACGTTAAGGGAGAGCATTCTGGGGGTTGTTAATGGTGGCCATAGGAAGTTTGAGAGGCAGAGCTGGGTGTTTGTGCAGAACATGGTGGAGATGAAGGTGCAGAAGTATCTACCCAAGGTAAAGATTTCGGTGCCGGATGATATTGGGAATGAGGGTGTCAGTGTTGGGGCGCCGGCGCAAGCGAATCTTGGTGGCTCGAATGCGCCTGTGCCGACTTCACAGGGAGGGCATTCTTCTTCAGGACAAGGAGGATATTCGTCGGGCCAGGGAGGATATGAACGGCCCTCGGAGCAGCATGGAGGACAGGGCTATCAACAGCCGTATAATCCTCCCTCGCAGTTTGGGGATAATCACCAGCAGAGTCACGATTACAGACCTCCCCAGGGACAAGACTACAGGCCTTCTCAAGGACAGGACTATAGGCCACAGCAGAGTCAAGACTACAGACCTCAAGGTCACGATGAGTACCGACCTCCAGGGCAACAAGGCGATTACCGACCACAGCACCAGTCCCAACAGGATTACAGACCTCAGCAACAGGACAACTACCGACCCCAGGACGAGTATAGACCTCAGCAACAGCAGTCGCATCAAGAGTACCGCCCCGATCAGTACCCTCCACCGCCACAGCATCAGTCAAGCCACTCTGGGGGATACCAGCAGAACGAGGGTTATCAGAATCAAGGTTACCAGCAAGATCAGGGCTACCAACAGAACCAAGGATACGGACAAGGCCAGGGTTATGGAAGCAACCCTCGCTATTGAGAGCATACGTCAAATCTGACAGCAGCAGCAACACCACATGAACATTTGCAGATAAGCGATGCATTGCAAACTTACAAAACGTCAGATACAAGAGCAGCACAGGGGTGCATCTACGCCGATGACTTGGGCGACGCTAGGTAGATTGATGATGAATGAAACGGCCATTTCCATGATCTGATCCCGTCCCCTGTTCTTTCAATTGACTTATCAATATGCCGAACATTCCGTCTCCTCTCCCGCTGACAGATAACGCTCTAGAACGCCTCTTTGATCCCGAGACCCTGGATTTGCCCCCACAGATCCTGAGTTCCCATGCCTTCCGCCATCTACACTAAACCATCATATCATGAAAAGCACCATGGCAGAAACCCCCCGGCAATCCCACCATGTGAGACTTTGTATCCTACGACGTGCAGAACATACACCCAGGACCCTGCATCACGAAAGATCTCTCAGCCACTGGACTTTTTTCATTTTGTGATATCACATGACATCCCGGTATGCTTGGCACGGTGGTCTGATTGTGTTTTGTTACGTAGGAGGAGCTGCGAGTGATATGATATGATGCTTCCACGTGCCTGGGCTTTCGTCACAACGGCATGATTCAGAAGGCCGAGGTAGTGCTGGGATTTGCTATTCGTTTTGGTTGATGATAGCTGCACACCCAGCGGTCGAAGTCCGAAATGTGCATGGTATTCTGCAACATGGGAAATGCGCGATGCCTTCAAGGGTCCTTGATTTCAGGGTCCTGGGAGTGTGACGATATCCTTGTATGCGGTTCTGTGGGGGTGTAAGGGAACCTTTGAAAGGGACATTTGGGGAGGGAAGAGAGAAGTTTAGCTGGAAAACTCACGATCTGATCATGATGGTGTTTTTGAAAGACATCCGCGGATGCCACGAGAGTTTGAAGAGGGAGACGTCATGGGATAATGTCATGGGAAGAAGGAAGCCGTGATGTTCCGTCATGATATGAGATTTAGGTGGGCGAGCGAAGGATCACGGGGATGTCTTGGCCGCTTGATGGGAGAGGCTCTGCGCTTCATCTTTAACTTGAGATAGTGGCGACAAGCTTGCCGTCTGGACAGGAAGCTTTACTCAGCTGCTCGGGATGATAGGGACGTGAGGTAAAGAGATGGCTCTTCAGCTGCTGGTAGTGACCGTTATCTGAGATGTACCTGATGCTTCTCTTGACCGAGTTCTTGCTCAGGTCATAAGTTGCTGGATATGAGCTTGTTAGTGTTATGTCGTTCCCGTATCGAAGTGTATCCTCAATGTATTGTGAGTTGTCTTCATTGCAAGTCCCCTGGAGGAGCTGCCTTATACTACACCATCTTCTTCGCGCGCGCCCGAGTTCTTCAAGGCAATCACCTTCTCATACCCAACACAACACCAGAAGCTTCGCCTTAGTATCAGAAAACGCTCTTTTATTACCATTACTTATATCCTCCTCCATCACTTCATCACCTCTCAACCCACAACCCCCCATTCCCATAAACCTGATCCCTCAAAACCCCAGCCTCACTCCTAACCCCAACCCAATGCCTCGGTATCCTATCCATCTCCCTCTGCACCGTCCCCGTCACATCCCCCAGCCGCTCCTTAAACCCCTTCTCGCTCTTAACCGCCCTGACCGCCGACACTGAAACCTCCGGTCCCCAGTTCTCCCGCCCCAGACTCGCTGTCGTGGTCATCACATCGCGCGTGTGCTCCTCCAGAAACGCTTCGTTGCTGAGATTTGGGGTGGACGGGTGTAAATGCCCCATTAGCATTACTTTCATGCGGAGGTCGAAGAAGAGCGTGTCGGAAAAGTCGTGTAGGATGTGGACTGTTACTTTGTTGCGGAGAACTACGCCGGGAGGGGCATTGCGCAGCGGTGCGATTGTGACGATTGCTTCGTGCCAGTCATCGTCGAAATCTTCGGTTTCTTTCGGTGGGAGGACGCGCGCCCACGCTGCAAAGACACCGCCCATTCGCATCTTGACCTCATCACCAACCTCACTCAAATTCGCCGTCGGTACACCCAGCTCCCTCGTAGATATCCCCGTCCCTCTAACAACCTTGCCCGCAAACTTGAAAGGAAACGGCGCCTCAGGTCCCTCGTCACTCCCAAGTATCGTCAACGGCTCCATCGCCTCTCCCGATATCAACGGATCATAGCGCCCCGCTTTACCATTCTTCCAGCTCTCGCTAACTGCATTTCCGATCCCACTACTTTGATACGCTTTTGTAGCGACTTTCTTGATAGTAGCGTTCGCAGGCGTGAGTCTCTTGGCGCCCTGCTCGATGACTACGCCTGCGACGCCGGTGTACTTCTTTGCTACCTGTGACCCAATCGTGGTAGCGACTTTGATGCCCATTTCCAAAGGCATGGTGCTTAGACTTGAACCGCGAACGGTGCTTACGTCTGTTGATGTGCTGGCGATGCGGAAGACGGGACTCCCGCAGAGGACTTTCTTCCCATCTGCGTTGGAGCACAGAACGAGGCGGAAGTAACCATCTGTTGCTGCGGCTGGTATACGAATGATGTGCGTTTCTCTCGGGACATGTTTCTTCATTCTTCCAGAGGCTTTCTTGACGAAACGCTTGAAATCGCGCTGTATACCACGTTCTTCTGCCTCAGCGATATGTTCCACGCCCGTTTTTGTCGCGGGCGTGACGTCGATCCAAGTTCCCGTCGTTCCCATCATTGCCTTAAGCGTCATTCCTACGTTTCCTGAGTACCCCTTCTGCTGTAACCACACAGTTCTCGTAGGCGGGAGAGGTTCATCTGAGAGGATTGTGATGGGCACTGAAGTCGCTGGACCTCTATACCAGATAAGAGCATGAGAATGCCGAATGATGCTGAAATGCTTGTTGGACTCTGCGGGGTGACTTATAAGCCCACCAGCGAAATACTGCGCTTCTCCAAGCGCAGCTTTCCATTTCGACGAATCCTTCGGTTTATCTTCTTGAGCGTCTAATCTCGCTGATAGAGCAGATGAGCTCTTGACTCGTCTAATCTCATTTGATGGCGCGGGACTCAATGGTGCTGGAGTGAGTGAAGTTGGACTTGGAATCTCATCAACCACAAAATCAACCTGATAATTCCCCCTCGGGTCCAGAAACCCCGACTGCTGCGGTGCATGAGCGCCAGTGAGGTTCGTCGCCGAGCGGACCGGGCGCAGAGGCCGTGAAGGCGGAGGCGGTGCTAAACCGGCGCCGAACTCGGGACGGTAGGCACTGTATTCCGGGGGCGGGGACGGAGTTGGTGGTGCGACGGGGGCAGGTCGCGTGTAGTAATTAGGGTCAGACCATTTCTCTGCATCTGGAGTTGGAGGGAAATACGGATTCATCTTGCTTGCACGTGAAGATGAAGAGATATTGAATGAATTCAGGGAGAGGGAGAGAGAGGTATGTAAAAGATGAGAGCATACGTGTTGGGTGGCCAAGAAATTGCACCGTGTAAATGGTCAGGGGTTTAGATTGCACACAGTATTCAGACAAAGAGTGTTTCTACAAGTGTTTCGACATCAAAAAACCAGGATAAAAGATTAAAATCGCGGGGATGATATTTATAGAATATTTATTGATCTCTCAAATAAGCTTATTATTGTGTTGGGGCTCGCTTCCCTTTTTAACTTCCAGAAACCAGGGCCTCCATCTCATCAGCTTCCCTTGGCACATCAGTCAGGTTCTCAGAGCCAGTCTTGGTGATGAGGATGTTATCCTCGATGCTGTCAAATACCGGTTAGCAAATTGCCTCGATAGCGCGACGGTGGCCACCAGAGCCCATTCATCAACTTACCGCACTCCACCGACATCCCAGTACTTGTCCAGAACGTCCTTGTTGATGAATTTGCTGTGCACGGGGTCCTCGAGGTAAGGATCGATGATGAACTTGCAGAAGTAAATCTAAAAAACGTCAGCACCCTGTGAGATATGCTGTGAATATCACTTACACCAGGCTCGACAGTGACAACGCTGCCGCTGGGGAGAGTGCCCCGCACGCGTAGGTAGCGGAACAGCTTATCCTTGTCGCCAAAGTTGGGGTTGCCGCCGGTATCGTGGGTGTCCATGCCAAGGTAGTGACCCAGACCGTGAGGGAGGAAAGCAGCGCTCGTGCGAGCCTTGAGGATCTCATCCTTGTCGCCCTTGAGGATGCCAGCTTCGAGGAGGCCGTCGATGGCGATCTTGTGGGCGAGCAGATGAACATCGTCCCACACAACACCCTCCTTGAGAACTGCAATGCACTCCTTTTGCATCTTGAGGACGGTCTCGTAGATGAAGCGAGACTCCTTGGTGAACTTGCCCGAGAGGGGGAACGTTCGTGTCTAAACGGTCAGCTCAATCCAACCCAGGATCTTATGCAAGCTACTCACAATATCAGCAGCGTAGTTGTTCCACTCGCCGCCAGCATCCATCAACAGGTTGAGCTTGCCCTCCAGAGGCGCATTATTTGGGACGTAATGCAGCGTAGCGGCCGCTCTTCCAGCAGCAGCAATAGGATCATACGACATCTTCTTAATACCATAAGAATAACATCTCTCCTTGAACGCCGCCTCAAACTCCTGCTCATTCTTGGCAGTCTTGGCCCTCGCAAACACAGCGCGATGCCCAATACCAGAGATGTAGTTCGCCTTTCGAAGCATAGCAACCTCGAACTCGTCCTTGACCACTCGCGAGGTCTCGATAGCGGTCTTTAGAACATTAAAGTTCTTGTTGTCGAAGCCGATGAAGGAGACGTGGTCGGAGACTTGGTTCGCGATGGCAAAGGCTGAGGACTTGGGGTTCTCGGATCCGAGGTGTGCGAGGGTAGCGTTGAGTTCGGTGGTGAGCTTTACTTCGTCGACGTCGTATTGCGCGAGGGCCTCGTCGATGCTGACGGGGAGACCGGACCAGATGACATCGTCGGGGTTGATGGGAGGGATGAAGAGTGTGGACTTCGCGGATTGGATGTCGTAGACGAAAGCGCAGTCGGGGAGGTTGCACCCGGTGAGGTAGTAGAAGTATCGGCGCTGACTGCAAGATCAAAATATTAGCTGGTGTTTGGAGATAAGGTGGGATACGCACCGGAAGGGCTCGGGCTCGTCGCTATCTTCCATCATTCGAGTAACTTGACTCTCGAGGTACAGAATACCATTGGCATCAGGAACATCCTTTCGGATGAGGTCCACGACACGTTTGGCATGGTCTTTGCCTGGGTATTTGCCCTTGAGGACAGCCTCGTAGTCTTCAGCGACCATGGTGATAGCTCTAGCGGGGGGTATTTGCGATGGGAAACGCGGTCGCGTGGATGATATCGTATTCAGACGTCGCACTTTCGTATACAGGCTTCGTCGCGCTGATCTTGAAGTTTTTGTAGAGAGTATACGTGTTGTTGCTTGAAAAGAACAAAGATGGAGGGGAGATTTGAACAACCCCGCTATGGACCTTGGATTCTTGGTCATGACGGAGGTGCAGGTCACAGATTAGGAAGCTCCAGTGGCTGCATTCACTAATCGGCTGCCCGTTACAGGGTCTTGGGTGTGGAGTTACGGCTGACAACGGCTTCTGCAGGTAAAGAGAACTTGATAATCAACTGATGGGAATTAAGATGGGAATTTGACGGATGAATTGATGGTCCGTTTAGATAATTAACGAAATGTATTAGCTGCAAGCTAGACTATGTACGATTGATACTGAAAGAATAATACGCGAAAGAAGGTGGAAGGCATCAAGCCAGTTCTGAGAGAAACTCGAGAATAGAATCGTAAGTGACAGTGTGCGAATACCCAAAGTTCAGTCCGTGACCTGCACCTGGGACAACAGTTGTGTTGAAGCGAGAAGCTTGTGTAAAGAACTGTCTCGATATGTCAAGTAACGAGGGCAACTTCTCGTCTACACTGATGGTAGAATAGCAGTTATCGCCGCAGAAAGGAACATCGCGTGCTGCACCTGTTAGCATTGTTTCATTCCATAAGTGGTGAGGGTCAACTTACAGCCAGTCACAATCTGGACAGGGCCAGTGTATGTGTTATTCTTCCCAGCTGGTGCTCCCAAAGTAAGAAGCTCACCAGGCGAAACAGGCTGGCCCTTCTCATACGCCACCTCCAGAATCTTGGGGTCAAAGTCGCCCTCGGCAAAGAAGTTAATCTGAATGCCCACTGTAGACGACACACCGACGTACCCAGCGGGATACTTATCAGCCAGAGGCGTAGCAGTGATAGGAACAAAGTTGCTTCCAACTGCGAATAGCCCCAAGTAAGCAGTAGCCTGCGAAAAGCCCGTCAAGACAATAGCATCAGTGAGTTCCGGACTCTCATTCGCAAGCGCATATGTAATAACCGAGCCAAACGAGTGGCCCAGGTGAGCAACCTTCGAGTACTTGCATCCTACCCCAAGAGATCCTTCGCGGGCTTTAGTAGTAAGGGCCTTGAGAGCTGCAATCTCGAGATAGACTTGGATCTCGTTCAATGGATCGCCCTTGGAGGAAGCACCGACTCCAAGACGGTCCCAGGTCAGAGTCGAGTAGCCGTGCTCGTCGACTGCGCGCGCGACATAGCTGTAGTTGTAGTTGTTGTATGGAAAGTCCCAGTAACTTCTATCAAAGCCAATGCCGTGCGTCATGATCTGAAGTTCCTTTCCAGGACCGGCATCGGGTTCGCAGTACGTAGCGGCGAGTTCATAATCACCCGAGACAGTTTTAAACTAACATCATAAGCTTGTATTAACCCATTGAGTGAGCAATTGACTTACACCCTTTTGCACCTGCTCAGGATATGGAGGCGCACCCTGTCGTGCAAGATTGACAGCAAGACTCGTAACGTCAATGCCCGTCAACGGCGCCTCAATGGTGAAAACAGCATTTTGGGATGTAAGTGACACAGGAACTGTGATGTTTGTGCACTTTCGCGCTGAGGCGGCGGTGATGAGGGTGAAGAGGGCCAGAGACTTGATCATGATGACGACTGTCTAAGAAGGTAACTGAGACTAATACTTTGAGTCAAGATAGAGAGACAATCTCAAGCGATGATCTATGCATATTTATATAAGAAAGGATAGAATATGCATGTCTTAATTACAAATTTCTCCTTCGTCCGCTGACCGAGCTTAGCTGCATATTAATTTATGTTTCTTGCTGCATGAGATCCTTGTAGATATCATCTTGCATCTCACTCCGGAGGTCCGACCATGATCGGCCAGCAGTGCAACCTAATACCTCCTGAACAAACTTCACTTACTTGGCCTTTAGAGTTTAGGTTCGGCACAGAAGAGTAGCAGAATGTATGTTTTGTTATCATGCCACTGTAGCACGGCACTCGAGGGCACTAGCGGAGAATTTAATTCTAAACCCACGGACGCTATGCAACGGGTCGTCTATTGAGATCTTCACTCGGTACAAACGAACCTATCCGCTGTATCCATCTTGGCAAAAAACATGTACCCCGAAAGCCCAATCGGTGCGAGTTAGTCATGTGCGGTGTGAGAGTGAGTAATCATCGCTTCCCCTTGCAGAGCCTCTTGACGTGATAGATCAAGTGAGATTGTTAAACCCCGACATGTCATTGTCATCGGGGACCATCGATTGCATCATGATGCAACCCTTCTAGCAAACTCAATTGACCCTCAGACTTTTCACTTGTCAAAGTTACTGCATGTAATGACAAATACCTTACCAAGAGCAGAGTGAGTCTGAGAGGTGAAGTCATCTGCCGAGGGCTCCATCCCTTGCATTGTGATAGTCAGAGTCTCAACTGAGACAAACACACCGACCGGTACGGGGACTTTTTGTTCTAGCGGCGAATAGAAGAGCATAATATAACGGGTTCAAGCGCGTTTTTTTCTTGTTTTATGACGGGACAGGGTCTGAGTCGAGAACATGTATGTCTCGAGTGTTGTCTCGTACAATGACCCAAACGAGAGGCAAGCTGAGATGCAGCCAATAAGCAGAGCAAACATGCTGCATTAGCACCAGATCCAAGAGTGCAACGTCAAGGTACAGTAAGCAGATTGACAAATAACAAGCATGGATCTATTTGCAATTCTTCTTCTCACAGCTCATCCTTCGCATCTAGTTCATGCTGTAATTGCATCGCCATCCCAACAGCTGCAAAACCACCCATATGCATCGCCTGCAAAGCACTCCTCATGACCGTCGCGGCATCACCAAAGGCAAAACAACCTTGCACGCTAGTCTCGTTCATCGGCGCATTAACCTTGATCTCACCCGTTGCCGTCTTCTCCAGTCCCATCTGTTCCGCAAACGGTGCTGCTTGTGCAACGTTAGGATGGCTTACCACGAAGCCTTCCGTCTTGGAGGAGCCGTCCTCGAAAGTGATTTTCACAGCGGGGCCGCCGTTGATGAGGGCGAAGGATTTGATCTTTTGGGTGTCGTAGTGCACTTTGCTGCTGTGCACTTTTGTCTTTATGGTTGAGGGGAGAGAGGTGTCGGCGTTGGTGTAGATTGTTACGGACTGGGAGAGACGTTTGGCCATGGGAGTTACGTGTGCGAGCATGTCGGCGCTGGCCAGCATGCCGCCTGCAAAGACGCCTACACTCTCTGCTCCTCGCTCTTCAAAGCCATGGCAGTAAAGACAGTGAAAACTTCAAAGTTAGCAAGGTTCGTCCCCCCTCCAAGCTCACTTACATTCCCTTTCCCCAGCACTCAGTATAGCCCTCAGGCTGCTCCTCCACAAGATCCTTCACACCAGTACCTAAGCCGAGTTTCTTTCCTTGATACATATTTCCATCTTGATCAACTGCTTCAAACACACCGGCGTCTGTTTTGCGAACGGTTGTGATGGTCGTGGACTTGAACTCAATGCTTTCATACCGCTTTTCAAGATCTTCACGGGCTTTGCGGCGGAAAACAGATGGTTCAACGTGGTCGAAGCCGAGAACGTTGTGCATGTGTTTCGTAGGCGCGTTGCGATATACGCCTGAGTCGAGGATGAGCGCTGTGTAGACTTGGCGGGCGAGGGCGGATGCCATGGCGAGACCGCCTGGACCGCCGCCGATGATGAGGACGTCGTAGAGTTTAGATGACATTTCGATTTTACGAGAAGTGAGAGAGGTAAGTTGTGTTTGTTATGGGATATGATATGGTTGCTCTTTGGCTTATATGCATTCTACGGAGAGATCTTGAATATCTCCGGTCGGAGACTTTGATGATGGGGCGGATGCACCAAGAGATTGGACAAAAAGGTGCCGCTGACTTGGGGCACGAAATATCTCCATCTGGATTGAGGCGATGGACCCTGATGAGTATTTCCCTGGGCTTAATGTCGTTGGTCGTGTCGCCAATGGATGACGCCTCAGAGTTTGAGGGCGAAGAGTTATTGTCAACGTCAGCTTGGGCATATGTAGCTACGATAAGACACCAGCCATCGATCCCTTCGAAACTTTTGCTCTTTTAGGACTTATTGATGGACAGTTGGACTAGATCAGGAAGGTCGTTGTTGGTGATGAGCTCGCATGTATATGCCGGTTTGCTGGGTACGGATGGGCGGCAGGCGTTGAACCAACAACCACAATGCGATAAACACATTCACAACCACAACTCCATGTTCTTTCTATGATGTTCAACTATATGACCGGGGCTTGGCTGGACAAACAAGGCCTGGCAGCATGCTCAGGGACGAAGTTAGGCAGAGACCAGTAAGTGAGATCCCACACGGCGAACAACTTCTCAGTCGTGTCTTAAAAATAATACCGTATCATCAATCATCAGTCACCACACAGAGGCACATGTATTGATCAAAAGCTGAGGAGATAGTACAAGCCCAGACCAAGTCTGAACCATCAATTGCGCTATATAAATAACAATATCCAAGTCCCGTAGGACCAATCCGAAACAAAAACAGCACTCGCTTCGACTATGCAAGCATGTCGCTACCCGTAAGTAACTTCATCGCGATGCTCAAGCAATTCCTGCGAGCACCAGCGCCTCACGCCCAGTTCAAGAAAACATCCCAAGCAATGCCAGGTTTAATGAGGACCAGTCCGACGATGAGGCTCTCCCATCGCTATCTTGACTCAGAACCACAAAACTGCAGTTTGCGTATTCCAAGTTCGGACTTGCTACGAGTCGTCACCTAGCACCACCCACGTCTCCGAACCAGGCGTAGCTGCACTATCTAGAAATTCCCGCTGAGAGGGTAAATCATCGAGTTCACTGTCCGAAACACAATCATAATCTGAGATCAAATCAGGCGGTTGCGACGTATCTACGTCGAAAGAGGGGTTTGAACCATCGAGTTCGTATATCACCCGCAGAGGAGCGAAGCTGCGTGATGATGGTGTGCTAGAAGGGGCTGTGTTGTCGTCGCAGGAGGTGAGGATTTGAGCGAGGGCTTGGGAGCCGCCGAGGTCTGTGAAGGAGAGATCGAGATGGAGCGGCTGGTTGAAGCTGAAGCTCTGAGCGCGCTTCTTGCGGGATTGGGATTGCTTGGCTGGGCGGATGGAGTAGACGGGTTCTTCGTGCTTGATGCTGTCAAGGCTGAACCCAGAGCCCCTAACCTGCTCGTCGTCGTACAGCAGGCCCATGCGATACAGCTCAGCAACTTCATCGTCCTCCGTCATGGGCATCTTTCGGTCAAGGTACACATTCCCCCTCGCAGTCGAAGCATCGCGAAATGCCTCCTCCCTCTCAAGCGTAGGCCTCCTCACAAGTCGAAAGCGGTCAACAGGTAGAGAGATCCGACTGTTCGCTAGATCTCTCCCCTCGACCTCATCGGAAGAACCACCCAGACTGGAGTGGTCATGTTTCCGGGCCATGCGGTTCCGATGGAC